AAGGAGGAAGAGGGGAAAGGAGAGAAGGGTGAGGAAGAGAGAGTGAGAGAAGAACAAGAGGAGGAAGAGGAAAATGAGTAAGTTGGACCATGAGGAAATGACAATCTTTAAAACTGAAGACAGCAATCCCTAAAAACAGGGAAACTACTTTTAAGGACAGAGAAAAAAAAAGGGGGGGGGGAGCTCTGAGACAGAAAGGAGAGGCCAGCCAGGTTCTGTTAAAGTACGCACACTCTCTTCGGATCCTGGGAAACGTCCGCGTTCAAATAAACAAGCGGCCAAGCACGGCCCCAGCGCTTTCTTGCTGCCGATAAAGCGAACGTTTAGACTGAGAGAAAGCTAGATTGATTTACGAATCTGAACGCGCCGGTTTTATGGCCAGTCACAAATCCGTCAGCGCTCAACTCACGCTGGGAAACTTCCCAACTCCGTTTTCCAATCAAACCCACTGGCAGTCACTGGCTTCCCAGGGAGACCCACCGGGCGGGCGCTGAGGCTGCCTCCAGGGCCATAATGGGACTGGGCAGCCTCCTGCCCCGGCTGGCAGGCAAGAAACAGAAGTAAGAGAGGGAGTGCAAAGAACCCAGGAACTGGGGGGAGAGGTCAAAAGATTGGAAGGCCTCACTGGGGGAGTTGGGAATGGCCACTAGCTCTGTGCAAAAATGAGCCCAAGCAGCTGTCAACTCCAAAAAGGGTTAGGTCTAGAGATGAGAGAAAGGAGGGGTCTTTCAGGGTGACTCTGGGGGATGAAATCCCAGCCTTCTCCTTCTTTTTGGAGAACCCCTAATCCTCAAGCAGTTTATAAAAGTTCTACTGGACTAGGTCTTTGTCACTCGGGCCTAGAGAGGGCCAACAATTGCCAATCAGCGGGTTACATATCTTTTCTAGAGTGTCCACCTTCAACAAGCCCCAAGTATTTTCAGTACCAAAACGGCCAGGTTTGCCTCTCTGCCCACCCCTGTCCTTCCTGAGCTGCCTCCCACCCCATTCCTCCATTTATGCCACCCACGGACAAAGAAAAAGCCAATGGTCCCAGTTATTTCTTGCCTGAGACAACAGTCTCTGAATTCCAGAGAAAGATACAGTGTGGGCAAACAGCACCCTACAGGATCTCCAGGAAAGCCCTGTCTAAGAAAAGTGACTCCTCTCCACAAAACAAAACTTTCCCTCCTCCTCTTCCTCTCTCCTTCTTTCCCTCCCCTTTGCTGCGGTGTTGCTGATAGTTAAGGCAGAAGACAGAACACTGATTATAGAGGCCCCCCCCCCCTTTCAGCAGATCTTCCATCTGCCTCTTAACTTGAGAAGTGTCTGCAAACTTTGGTTGGCACGGTCAAGTGGGCCCTAAAAGTGGTCAGGGCAGCCTGCACAGCTCCCCCTTCCATTTCTCTTGCTCTTCCAGTGGCTGAGGTACCCAAGGAAAAGAGAAGATTGAGGTATGGAACATAAAGGCGATTATAAAAATAGCTTCCTTAAAGAAAGGAACTTTCTAAAATGGGTTGCAAGACTGTAGATTTGGAGAGAGAGAGAGAGAGAGAAAGAGAGAGAATTAATATTCCCCCCCCCAAAGTACTGTTCACGGTGTGAGCTGTTTCTCTCCAGCTCAGGAGCTTATTCCTCTGATGGTCTAGAGTGTGTCTGTCTAACCTCTCATTATTGTATCCTTTAGAACCCCTTCCCTCCGATTGAAGAGAGGGAGAGAGAGAGATGCAAATGGACTTGGGATAGGGGAGGAGACTGAAGCCCAACCTGGGGAAAGGGCTTTATACAGACAGACCAGCACCTTATTCCTCACCGGCAGGACTTCTGGGCTAACATAAAACAAACAAACAAAACCCCTCCCTTTCCTCTCAATCCACAATTTAAAAAAAAAAAATCCAGAAATTCTGAGATAGCAAGGGATTTGTGGAGTACAGGAAGATGAAGAAGCTGGGAACCCCTCCGTGAAGAGGTTCGACTCTGTGGCAGGAAGCAAGAGCTAGCACAATGTCCAGTCTCAGAGAGGTCAAGGGGCTTCCGAGGTCATTTTGTGGTTCTAATACCAAGCTAATCGCCTAGAAAACGTGGCCTCTCCATGAACTCTCCATCCTGCCAGCCTCCCGCCTCCAAACTCTAAGTGAGGCCTCGGGGAAAAGGGGCCAGCACATTTGGGTCTGAGGCAGAGCCCACTGACTCCTCAGTCTGAGAAGTAAAGGAGAAAGAACAGAGCCCCCAAGCCCAGAGGCAAAGAGAAAGAAAACTGAACAGAGAGCCTCCAGGAGGCCTGGAGAGTGGAGTGGGGTGGGGTGCCGTGGGGTGCGGTGGGGGCAAAGAATTTCTGTGTCAGTGCACCTCGCCCTGTGCAGTTTCTGTTTTTCAGAGAGTAAAGATCTGTCTGGAATCTCACGCTAGACACAGGAAGAAAACCCAACCAAATCCACTCCTACTGGCTCTAAGACTAGAGAACTCCATTCAAGATCTGGATTCCATTTTTTTTTTTTTTCTCCCTCCAGGAGGCTGCAGCGACAACATCCCGGGAATACATTGAGCACCTTCCCAGACACAGGCACACAAGCTCAGGAGCACGCTCTCCCCGGCCCCGCCTGCATTTTTCAAAACCACAGAACCACTTCTGAACAGCCTCACAAACAACCCTTCTCTGGGGTTTTTCAGGGGCCCTGACACCTCTGTCCCAACCAGTTCAAACACTCTCCAGGTGTCCAGGCCTCTCTTGCCTTCTCTGTCTCTGTCTCTCTTGCTCTCTCCCAAACATCAGTCATCATAAAAGGCAGCAAACCTGCCCAACAATCCACCATTAAAAAAAGCAAAAAAACAAAAACAAAAAACCAAAAAACAAAACAAAACAAAACAAACAAAGAAAACAAAGATAGCTGAAAAAGAGGAGGTGAGTGTTTTTTGTTTCTTTTTTTTTTTTTCTTGTGAAAAAAGCCCCAAAAAATGATTTAAAAAAAAAAAAAAAAAGCCAGCCCAAGCCACGGCTTTGTTACCTTCCGTGCCTCTCGCCTGCTCTTGCCTGAGCTCCGCTGGTCCCATTCATGATGAAAGGCTTCTTCCAAAACTGAGAGAAAAAAGTTTTCAACTTTATGGTTCCAAAAATTTTCCCCCTTGCAGATCCGGGAGACTCGGCTAACACTTTTTCTCCCCCAACAGCCGGTCTGCGGAGATTTGCTGTTGAATAATGACAAAGGAGAGAGGATACGTATTTAAAGAAAAGAAGTGATTAATGGTTTTCTGTATAATTCTCACATTTTTCTTAGCTCTTGTCTACACAGAATGGCTGTGAACTTTAAGCTCCATAGAAATCTCCGTCTTCCTCTTCTTCTTTTTAAGATTCTATTCATACCTTCCAAGAAGCAGCTTTGATTTGATTCTTTAGACACATTCCTGGGGGGGAGGGAGCTTATGGTTTTTAAGAACTATTTTTCCCCCCTCAACTAAGGGTTGTCTTACCTCCTCACAGCTAAAACACTAAGGCACGCACAAGAGCACAAGAGACAAAGCTAACCCTCCCATCCTTCTCTCGATCTACAGGCAACTTTTTTTTCTTTTTTCTATCCATCCTTTCTTTCTTTTTAAAAAACTGATCTTCTGGTTTCACTTTAATGGGCAGTTCTACTGCCCTGAGGATGCTGGCCCAATGGGTTCTCTGGCCCTACTCAGACTCCTGCTACCCTCACAGGCTAACCAGAGAAATGCAAAAATAAACAACAATCAAACATGTGGGTGGGATGGGCTCTTTATTTTCTGGGAAGAAACGGGACCCAAGAAGAAATGTTTAAGGCCAGAACCAAAAAATGAAACGGCTTGACTTTTAATTGTGGAGCCTGGGGCTCCTTGAAGACAACATGGCTGCACCCTGAGTCATCACAGATCCTGGCGGAACCCAAGGTTAGAGCTCCAGACCTTAGAACTTCTTGGCTGTACTGCACGAAAGTGACCCAAACCTGGCAGGGATTTCTGAGGATCACCTGCACTCTCCCCCCCCCCCCACTGCATTCTAGGGGTGATTGGGATCTCGGAGACAGTTATTTGGTCCCCGGCCTTACTTTCGATACTTTCTATGAGAAAGAAAATGAAAATTAATACAGGAGCAGAGCTTCACAAAAGAGGCCATTTGTCTTCTTGATTATCTATTTGCTTGTCAGAGTTTGAGCTATGGCACCAGCTAGTTCCTTTGTAATATAAAAATACTCTGAAAACCTGCAAACACCCAGAAACATCTGTGCAAAAAATTAGACTCATTAAAGCCTTAAACACCTCAGAGGAAAGCGATACCTTCTTATGCGGGCTGGAAAGAGGCCGGCCTCGTGGAGTCCTCCCTGGAACTTTAATAACCAAAGAGCCGTCTGTCTAGAAGCAGACAGCTTAACTGCATTTTATTTGCTTATGACAAATAAATCAGGATATGAAAGACTTTGCCCTTCTTAAGCCTCTGCTGTCCTACAATGAAACACACCCCCACTGGGGGCTGGAATCAGCCCTCCCAGGCCTTGTGACTGTTGACTGTTTTTTTTTTTTTTTTTTTTTTTTTGGACTGAAGAGAGAAAAAAAATTAAAGCCTCAACCAAAACACATCCACCCCAAAGGGAAAACAAACCAGCAACCACAATTTGGAAGCCTCTGAGGTAGAAATTCCATCGGAGCCTTTTAAAAAAGAAATAAAGAAAGGAAGAAGAAGAAGAAGAGGAAGGAGGAGGAGGAGGAGGAGGAGGAGGAGGAGGAGAAGAAGAAGAAGAAGAAGAAGAAGAAGAAGAAGAAGAAGAAGAAG